AGAAGTATGATGAGAAACTAGTACTTTATTTAACAAATAATTATTTCTTCTTTGATTTGACAGTTATTACATGCCAACGTGATTGTCTACAGTTATCATTATTTACTTGATCCAAAGATTGCTGACATTGTATCAAAAGAATTTTCGAAAAAATGTGTAATAATTTTTGATGAAGCGCACAACATAGGTGAGTACAAAAGTTGTTGTACCTACATGTATGCAAGGAATATGTTCTCTCTCTCATACTCTAGTAGGAACCACACAAAATCATTGCATGCATTATTTTAATGTCAAAATTCAGAAGTAAATGCCCCTAGAACCTTCCTGGTGTTTGAAACTGTCCTACCATGAAGCAGATATTGGCCAAATTCATTTTATCATGGAATTTGTGTAAGAATTCATTTTATCATGGAATTCGTGTAAGAATTCATTTTATCATGGAATTCGTGTAAGAATTCATTTTAGTGTGATGTATTCTATACATGAAAAAGTGATTGTTGGATATTTGACATAGAGCACCTGTTTGTGTTTAATATTATTTAACTTCAGATAATGTGTGCATCGATTCACTCAGTGTTAATATTACAAGAAGAATTATAGACAGATGTCAAACTAATTTAGATTCTTTGAAAACAGAGATAAATAAGTAAGTAATTTATTACAGAATTGTTTTTATTGTTGTGTTTTTAAAAGTTATATGTATAAAGTTCATGATATCAGCACTAACAAATGAAAGAAAACCTTTTGTTTTCATAAAATTAATAACTAATTTAATATTTAGTGCCAGCCATCGAACCCTTTTGTTTTTGTTATGGTTTGCCTTCAGTGTTTGCAAGTTTTATTTAATAAATGTTGAACATTTAACACATATCTTATTGTGTTGTGTTATTAAATAATCTTAATAGAAAAATACTTACCAGTACTTAAAATATATTACGGTACTTATTACATACAATATGCTGTGTTGAGAAAAAGTGAGCAGAACTTAAATGGTGTTGTGACAAATACCACATTCCTTATTCTATGGGAATCTGTTCTTTATTAATGTTAACCTCATACCATGAGAATCCAGTAAGAATTTCACTTTATTTCACTCATCTACTTAGAATTAAAGAGAAGGATGCTAATCGCCTACGAGAAGAGTACAACAGACTTGTTGAAGGTCTGAGGGAAGCTAATGTTGCCAGGGAAACTGATGTGCAATTAGCTAATCCTGTATTACCTGATGAAATATTACAAGGTAAATAATCAATCCAGTTAACTCTTGCCACATTCACAAAATAAAACTATCTATTTAGGGGATAAGAATTTGTGTTCAATCAAAATTATATAAAAATTCTTTAATAAAAAATGGTGTTCAGAAGATTACTCAGTGAACTACCAATTACAGTCGGTCATATCTAGGTGTGTGATGACATTATATACAAGTAGCTATGCTGTTTTCATATAAGCATTACACTCACTTGATTGGACGTAAGGAAGACAATCTGTTATCCTGAGAAAAGTGTTAAAGACAAATAACTATTACTGCATTATTCTTGTATTATGGAGAGATGTACAATGTCTTCAGTGCTGAAAACTTCAAATGGTAGATAAGACATAAAGGTCAGAACTGTGATGACATACACCGAATGTTCCACATTTAATCCTAATTATAATTCTAAAAAAAATTGAAGCAAATGAGTGATTCTGTGAAATAGGGTTCATCTTGGGTTTTTTAAGCATTTTAACATATTTGTAGTTTGTGTCATTTTCACTTTCTTGAATATACCGGGAATCACATGATCAGCAATAATGATCGTTTTAACCCAAAATAGTTGCATGGTGTTCTGTTCTTATATTGGTCATAAGAAAACTGTGTAATTTCAGTGAACTCTTCATCACCTGTTGGTATGCATGGTTTTGCAATTGCAGACTGAATAATGGTCCCTTTATTTGTATATTTCATTGAAAGGTTTAAAATGGTAGCATCCCTCCTTCACAATCGTTAATTAGGTTTGTTGACCTTTTATTGCTGGGTTGCCATTCAACAACAAATTTCTAGTTCATGAGACATTCTCATAATCAATAGAGATATCAATTTCCACAAAATGTTTTTTTACTGGCTTTTATTAAATGGTTGTAGATTTGTTATTTTTTCATCCTAGAAGGGTCAGCTAGATAATTATTAACACATTGCCTGCTATCTGTGTATCTGTGGTAATCAAAAGGTCTACTTACATGTATATAGTTTAGCAGCATTATAATATTGTTTTTCAAACCTAGAAACAGTGTTATAAATTCCACAAATAATGTGGTAGACACAAGGGCTACCATCTCTTAAAAGTTAGTGGTCTTAATGAAAAGTTGGTGGACCAACTTGCCAGTGCTATTAAAATATGCACAGGCAACATTCAGTATATGCAACACTGTGAATAATGATGTGTTTCTTTAATACATGTGACAGAAAACATACTAGATATTCATACCATGGAACTACAAGGGTGGTTTGTAATATTACACTTATTGAAAAACGTAGACTGAAACATGAGAAACATAAAAGTCACAACGATTTTGGATAACTTCTTTTTTATATTTTTTACATTCATCAGAAAAATAAGTTTGTTTTCACATTTATATAGTAAAATCTCTAGAAAGTAAATTAAACAAAGGTTGCCATGACTGTAATGTTCAAATACATTACATAAAATCTCTAGAAAAAAATGATGATGAGTGCCTGCTGAGTAGTACTTGATCAGTTTGATGTGGGAATTAAATCAATGATATACTACATTGCATATCAATAGGTGAATGGTACCGGTAAAGTTGCTGTAGATAACAGGAAAACATGTTTTACATCTAAAGATGTTTTACAACTATCTAATTCCTGACTGAATATTTGTTTATAATAAAAAAAATATAAAGTGAAACAGGTTTACTAGATGGTTTATTACTGACGCTAATCAATCATTGGGTGGACAACCGGGCGACGTCATTACAAGTTTTCGTGGCTCGGCAGAAAACTTTGTGACCGGGCAACCGGTAATTTCAAACACTGCCAGAAAACATAAATTTCACCATAGAATAAACTGCACAATTCAGTGATAAAGTTATGAACAACACTAAGCATTTGATTGGTTAATTAGCTGAAAGTGAGGCTACGATTTTAAACTTATACAAAGTGCATAGCAACCACTAGAATGATCAGCATACCTTTATCTATTATCTGATCTTCACTGATCAGTTCTCAATTCTTTTTGTTGCAGAAGCAGTACCAGGAAATATTCGAAACGCAGAACACTTTGTTGGATTTATGAAACGTTTCAGTGAATACATAAAAATGCGATTGAGGGTGCAACATGTTGTATCAGAAAGTCCGCCATCTTTCCTCAAGGATATCTATAGCAAAGTTTGCATCGAAAGGAAGCCCCTCAGGTTGGTAGCAAGAAAGCCCCTCAGAATAGTAAATTTTTGCATAGAAAAAAAGCCATTCAGGTTAGCAAATTTTCATAGAAAAGGTTACAGTAAAGTTTGGATGAAAATAAAGCCTCTCAGTTTATAGTTAAATTTCTGATCAATAGTTTTAATAAAATCAATATGGGAGATCTATTTTGGCGGTTAATGTTTCTGTGTGTATATATATACGTATATATACATGTATGTGTGTGTGTGTGTATGTGTGTGTGTTCTCCACTGATATCTCAAGAACTAATTATCAGACTTTAATGATACTTGGTACACAAATTTCAATGAACAACTTGATACATGTATGGTTTGGGATAATGCACTGATCTGATTAGTTTTGGGTTGAAACATCTGAATATTAACTACCTGCTCCTGGTAATATGCATATAGATTAGCCAATTTAACCAAAACTTGTTACATAGGTGAGGCTTATATATGTTTATTTTAGGGTGAAATTAATTATATACCTTGTATAAATGGGTTCATAATAATCATAAGTGTAGTATCTCAAGTTTTGTTGGAGATAAGGACATTCAATCAGTGCTATAATAAATGCATGCAGCATACCACATGTCCACATATGGTCATGGACCTCATTAATAATAAACGTAAAATCTTAGAAAAAGGCAAGTCTATGGTCAAAATAAAACATACTTCAATAATTTTGCGTGCACAATTTTTGTGTGAATTGTGGATCTGCTTCTAATATAGTAAATACAGTATTCCCTATTTGTACTTCATACCTCCAATACCCTTAGCACACTAGAGTTCTTTCTAAGCTTTCTTTGATTATTATTTTAAAATTGGACTTTTATTTCTTATGACTATGCAATTTTTATTTTTTCATATTTTCTCATAAAAAATTTGGAAAAAGCTGTGACATATACATGTATACTGATGGGTTTGGTTAGCAGACATCTGAATATCTGTTTTTCTGGGCTTCTTTTATACCATTATTTTATGGGCATCAGCTGTGCATGTTTATGATTTTTTATAGTAAATATTATTATGATTTTCCAAAAATGATAATTTCCAGGTTTTGTGCTGAGAGGTTACATTCGCTACTGAGGACCCTAGAATTAGCAGAATTACATGATTATTCAGCCGTGACATTAGTTGCTAATTTTGCAACACTTGTGAGTACATATGCAAGAGGTAAGAGCTTGTTCGCACTACTCTAAAGTATGGGATTCCCATGAACAATAACAGTTTTGAAATGTTGATACTGCATTTGATAGCGACAAGCTGTTCATGTGTACCAATTTTTGCCGGTGGAAGGGGGTTTTATTCATAAATATTACAGATAATAATAGGAATAATGAATTGATATTTTTTTTTAATTTTTATTTGAAAACTCATTATAGATAATATCTTGCATATTTCACAATATATATATTAACTAGTGCATCTCCTATGGTTCTTTCTCAAATGATGCATTAATGAATTGTCATCCATTCACCAAGTACCCATTCAGAATACATGTTAACATTGTTTTCAACGAATAATATTATATATTTGATAACCAATTTTATTATTATATGCAAGGTTTCAGTTTAATCATTGAGCCGTTTGATGACAGGACCCCAACCATTCCAAATCCAATACTTCATTTCACGTGAGTAAGGATATGTTTCAAACAACAACCTGATTGTTCCAGACCTGTATTTAGTTTGAAGTAAAACTTTGTAGTTCCATATCATATTATGACTAATATTTAAGTTTTTTGTTTAACAGATGTATGGATGCTTCCATAGCTATTAAACCAGTGTTTGACAGATTTCAAACTGTAGTATCACATCAGGAGTAAGTGTTTCATTTATTTCTCATTATTACATGCCTTAGTAATCAACTCATTGGAGTTTTCCTGAATTCAGCTGCCAAACAGATTAGCCTATTACCAACCTGCAAATGGCCATTCAGCTCTTGTTAAGAGAAAGAGAACAACAAAACTTCTTTTTGACCCTCAAATAGTGCCCACTGTTTTAGTTACCATGGTTACATGGGGGACAGTAGACAGTATGCTAGTGGCAATGGAACACCATTTAAATGGCAGGAACTAGTCTTGTGATTCAATAAAACCTCTACAGACATTTTCGTCCATTTTAGTCTTAGAATATTGATCCTAATATAAAACAATTATGGTATTTAAAAGTACCTAAGTGTACAGGATTTAAAATATTTACTATGTTTGCAGTCAGTATCTGTTACAAATGGAACATTAATTGAATTTATTGACACTTTAATGAGCATGTATATTTAAATTTACTAATTCTTAGACACTGTCACCATTGGATATGTATCCCAAGATATTGGATTTTCGACCTGTAACCATGTCTCATTTACAATGACATTGGCCAGGAATTGCATATGTCCTATGGTAAGTCATTAATACTTATATAGTATGTATAAATCGTGGCAGTAGAATGTATTTGTTTTGACTGTTTATTTAATTTTTTGAAATTTTCATTAAATATTAACTGTATACATGTATGAAGTAATTTGTAATTATTTTATGCTTTCATTAATTTCAAAATTGTAGATTATTGGGAGAGGCAATGACCAGGTTGCGATGACTTCAAAATTTGACAGCCGGCAAGACATTGCTGTTATTCGTAACTATGGTAACCTATTAGTGGAAATGTCTTACATAGTGCCAGATGGAATTGTATGTTTCTTCACAAGTTATGTTTATATGGTGAGTTTGTTTATTCTGCTTTCAGGCAATGTAGTCAAATATGTAGATAAAAAAGTTAAATATTATAATGAAGTTCATTTTATTTTATTTTATTTTATTTTATTTTATTTTATTTTATTTTATTTTATTTTATTTTATTTTAATTTATTTTATTTTATTTTATTTTATTTTATTTTATTTCTCCACTTGATGTAAAGTAATTTGCCCAAATCAAGGCTTTGTGAATTAGGAATTCATATTCTATGACCATTGTCTGTTTTTGTTTCCAGGAATCCACAATATATAATCATTGTCTTCTTTTGTTTCCAGGAATCCATTGTAGCTTCATGGTATGAGCAAGGAATTATTGATAATATCCAGAAAAATAAACTATTATTTATTGAAACTCAAGATGCAGCTGAGACCAGTGTTGCATTACATCATTATCAAAAGGTAAAAATTCTTATGTTATTATTTCATAATAATAATAGTAATAGGATATTAGTAACAATTTATTACATCTTTAGAAAAGACAATTTTTATCAGTGGTTTCACAATAAATATATAGGTAACAAAAACTGCAAAATATGAATATGTATCCCTGGCACAGTAATAGCTATAAACATGTAGAGATGAACTGCTTATTTTTCTTATGCAGGCTTGTGAGAATGGTAGAGGTGCTGTGTTACTCTCTGTTGCTAGGGGAAAAGTGTCAGAAGGAATTGATTTTGGTAAGACATATATACTGAAAGTTCATTGACAGATTCAAGATTTGACCATTTGACTGTGAATAACTTGATTCAGGATTCTTAGATTCTTAAATTCCCTAAGCGGTTTTTTGAAGAGCAGTGTAAAAATACCCATTAATAATATCTGATGATCCTTGATGATATCAATGTCACTTGTCTGGTGGTGTCTTGTAGAAACCATTTGTGGAGCAAACATTCAACATCATTTTAACTATGTAACATGACGTGCTTATTTGTTTGTTTTGTTTCTGTGGGTTGTAGTGTACTTGTCATTACTTGTCCGTTATATGTTTTGTGTTTTTGGATTAATATGAATTTGGATTTTGTTTAGGTATGTTATTATCTCTACTATGGTATACCAAATCAAAATCAAAATTCATAATCCAAAAACAGAACTTACAAAGATGAATATTTTTTTTTAAATTGCTTAATAATCAAGTTGTTCATGTCTAAGAATTCATTTGAAAGTTGAGATACAATTGACCAATAATAAAAAAAAAATGACTGACAAATAATCCACAAGTACAAAACAAAACAATTGATCATCATTCCACAATGTTAAATATGCTCAATATGTGTATAATAACATCTCACTTGAGGAATAAAACATATATTTCTTGAACGGCATCATTATTTTCTAGACCACCACCTTGGGAGAGCTGTGATCATGTTTGGTATTCCATATGTATACACACAAAGCAGGATTCTCAAGGCACGTTTGGAGTATTTACGAGATCAGTATCAGATAAGAGAGAATGATTTCCTGACTTTTGATGCCATGAGGCATGCAGCACAGGTAAACATTACAATTTATGTGTAATTTAATGAATTATACTACAGTAGTTTTACCCAGTAAAAGTGATGGCCAATTATTTATTTATTTATCAAGTAAATATTAAATGTGTTGTTATGCTATGAATGTCACGATGTCATGAGTATAAATTACATACTGAACTGCTGCTTGATATATTGTGTGCATTGTGTGGTGTAGAAAAGATTAACCAGAAAACGTTTCTGTTATCACTGTAGTGTGTTGGTAGAGTCATGCGAGGGAAAACAGATTATGGTATTATGGTATTTGCTGATAAAGTAAGAAATATTTCAACTCATGTTTTTGGGGGAGAATTTCAAGAATCCACTCTCATAAGTATTACACAGTACAATATATTTATCATAGTGATAATATCCCATATTCTTTCCAATACCATCTTAATTATTATTATAAAGCTGGTTTATTAATAGAGCTCATTGCATGCATTCTAAGAAATTCATCAATACTGAAACTAAAGATTTCAAGTATGTTGGTAATGAGTGTTTAGGTGTTAATTACAATAATCAATCAATATTCTATGCACTGCACTGTATTTGTAAAATAATATCCTGGAAGATATGATCATACATAAAACTAATAACTAATAATCCCGTATTTACTCTATTAGAAGTTAATCTCCAACAGAAGGACATATAAATCACTACTAGCATGTTTTGTATATTAAAATATGACTTATTTTTCCCATATAAATACACCTGTAATGTTTCCTAAGTGTATGTGCTTCTATTAGAGCAAGTAGTCTGAAATAAAAAATACACACAAGTTTTATGTTTTGTAATAAAGAGGTTTTCCAGAGCTGATAAACGTGGCAAACTACCGAGATGGATTCAAGAATACCTGAAGGACACTGTGTCAAACCTTTCAACTGATGAAGCTATACAGATTGCAAAGAAGTTTTTACGGATAATGGCCCAACCATTCAGACGAGTTAGTGTATTATTTTTATTTACAGTTAATCCATCCTAATTACACAAAATGATTAAAATGAATGTATGTGGACTTTTCTCTTATCGTATTTTTGCATATATATTATGGATTTATTTCTTAACGAACATATGGTTCATTTTTACACTAACAACATGGGTATGCAGCCATTATAGCTACCATATCGGTATATGGGAGTAATTTATGGTAATGTTTGTGTCTCATTTGTTAGTTTGCAAATTTAACATGAATTAATTTTTTTTATTTAAAAGGAAGATCAACTTGGTTTATCTTTGCTGACCTTAGATCAATTACAGTCGGAAGAGATGCAGAAAAAGATAGAAAAGACGTCCCATCAGCAATGAGTGCTTCATGGTATCCGTATCTGTAATGTAACCAAATACTTGCTTGCTGATTGGTTGATGAGATGAGTGGGAGGAAGGTTCTGAACCTGTCACAATTGTTTTGATACAACCCGTTTTTATACAGTATTATAAACCACATTTAAACTATGAATAAAATTCTCAGTTTTATATGTTTTACCTATATGGATATATATTTAGTAAATAACCTTAGAACATTTAATTTCAACCATAAAACATTGGAAAGAATTTACAAAAAATTGTGTTCCCACTTAATAACAACAATAATGGTTCTTTTGTTATCACTATTTAATCTTGTACAGTGAATCAACCAGAGAGTAGATAGTATATTTACTATTGGCAGGCTGTTATGAAAAGCATATTTCAAATTTATGTATCAAATATCCCAGAAATATCAAGACACTTAAAAAAGGATCATTTTATGAAGTTTATAACAAGCAAAGGCAAACAAGAAATAATTATTGTGCCTACTATAAAGATTATTTTTTATTTAAACTGTTAATATGGGAATGTAAACTTGTCAACTGAAAGACTGATGAGAATACTGACTTTATTAAATCAGATACCTAATGGAAATGGTGTTCTGTAATATAATTTTAGTCAATCATACAGTTGACTAATTCATATAATAATAACTTTAATAACCAATCGCTACCAATACTTTTTATTGTTAGATTATTGTCTAACTAGTCTAATGCTGCAAAATCTAAACAAATCTACAATTTTCTGTGTACGCCTCTCAGGTTGGCTATCAATGACGGGCATCCTAGGGCTACTATATGTTTTTCTCCATGTTGAAGCAGCACAAACACTACCAAGATGTGACATATCACCCAGACATGCATATGCAAGGGGCACAATGTCGATATTATAGGTGAACTTGGACATGTATGCATTTCCACCAATTCACATTCTAATTAGAGAAAGTAGTGGCTACATTGACGTCATAATGACAGTGGTGATCATTCATAGTAAAGCCGACATGCGCCTACCAGGCGAGCTGTTAATATTGACACAAAAGCACAGGGAACTTCCCTGGCACTGTTTCAATTGCGCACCTGGCAGCTATCCAGCAATTGGCAACTAGAGGCTTTCCTAGCCAAGTCTCCAACAACATTGCTAATCAGGATTCTATCCCATGCTTCTATGAATGTTCATGTAGCAAATCTAAATTAGAGTAATAGTAGACAGGCAGATCCACTGGAGCCATCTGTTCCCATAGAAGCTGATTTTTAGATTTTTCTCACAAAAAACATTATGCCCTTCACTATTAAAGGACCCAGTCTAGTGATAATAGTTTGGGTATAACCCAGTGTTTACCAAAAAACACATCCCTAAGAGGTTATTGACTGGAACGTCAGTCTAGTACTAGACTCAATACATAAGTTTTTACTTGAGTCATTTTTATTCAACATCAAACTGTATATAAACAGACTAGATTTGAATACATGACAACAGAAAATTACGCAATTACGTGTTTGATTAAATAAAGTACATGTATTACTAATTCCAGAATCATTGCATATACTTTTTGAACTTACTAAACCAGAATCACAAATAATATTTATCTGCAATAATATTTATCAGTTGTATTTAACGAGGTCCGAGCTGAATTGAAGATTATATGTCATGTTCATCATACTTTCATTATTTATAAGTTCATACCATCAGAAATCTAAAAATAAAAAAATTAGGGTCACTGGATGATTTTTTTGAAATACAATATTCGAAATATCATGGAAAATTGTAATTTTTACACTCTATGGTGAGATTATTAGTCCCAAAATGGGGACTTATAAATCAGTCTCCGTCCATCCGGAGTCATATCTCAGAATCCCTTGGACTGATTCCGTTCATTCTTTGCATGTGCCTAGTACTTTATGTGGGACATATGCATATGCAGTTGTTTAGCGATTCGATTCAAAATGGCCGACGGCAGCCATCTTGTTTTTTGAAAATGTTGGATTTTGGACATGCTTTGTCAGTTTTTATTCAAACTTGGTACATAGATTATACATGTTAGGATACATGTCCATGATGATTTATTTCACAATTGGATCGAAGATGGCCGACTGGCAGCCATCTTGTTTTTTCAAAATGTCGTATTTTGGACATGCTTTGTCAGTTTTCATTCAAATTTAGTACATAGATCATACATGTTAGGATGCATGTCCCCGACTGTTCGTTGAGTTGCTGAGTCTGTCCGTCAGTCTGTCCGTCTGTCTGTGCGTCAGTCTATCCAATGTCATATTTCAGAATCCTGTGGACCGATTCTGTTCATTCTTTGCTTGTGCCGAGTACCTTATGTGGGACATATGCGAATGCAGTGGTCTAGCGATTCGATTCAAAATGGCCGACTGGCAGCCATCTTGTTTTTTTGAAAATGTTGTAGTTTGGACATGCTTTGTCAGTTGTCATTCAAACTTGGTACATAGATTATACATGTTAGGATACATGTTCATGACGATTTATTTCACAATTGGATCAAAGATGGTCGACTGGCAGGCATCTTGTTTTTGTTTTTTTATGCGGTATCTTGGACGTGCTCTGTCAGTTTTCATTCACATTTTGGCATATACATGTACTTTATACATGTTAGGATATGTCCATGACAATTTGTTTCAAAATCTGGTCAAGGATGGCCGATTGCAGCCATCTGACTTTTTGGCCTTACTACTTCAAGTTTCAAGGACACGCTCGCGACAACCCCTCCGCTTTAATATGACGAGCACAAAGGGAACTTAACGGGGACTGTGTCATTTTCAATGACTTGTTGAAAACAATCTGACTCGTATTATTATGGTTCATAATACTAGCAGCTTGCAGGCTGTGGCACCCATGTATTAAATTTGATGTAAATCTGGTAATTAAGATACAGAAAATTGAATTTATGTACAAAGATTCATTGTGATGTGATGAGATATCTGTGGGACACAAATCTATCGAGTGGTTCTTGAGATACTGGCGGTACCCTAAAAATTGGTTAATTATTGTGCAAAGTAGATCATTATGTGCAAATTGTGACAAAAACTAATCATGTACCAAGTGGACAATTGACAGCTGACGTGATCAGGCGATTACCGGTGATTTTGTTTCCAATTTTTAATATCCACATTTGATTTATAACTCTTCTGGAAAAGATGACATCACAGTATTTTTGGAGCCCCTTACTTTTATTCGTTTGATGGTAGATAAATTATATGTTAATATTTTGGACATCAACTCTTTGGTTGAACATTTATATGATCCAGTGATAGGTTTTCTACGATGTTTTATGTAGGGTTTGATATACAATACACGAACAATGTATAGGTACAACACAAAGTAGTATGTAAATGAGATCTCATTATATACATATGTATATCTGATGTATCGAATTAATATGTATGTATATATATATATATTACAATTCCATCTCTGTTCTTAAAGGCATAACCCAACACTTAGTTTATCTTCCTATAACAATTCATCGGGATATAATTCTCTCATTATTAAGATCACATTTCCGAATGAAATGAAACTCATCTTCAATGATTCCATGACTATCGAATCTAAACAAATCTCCCAACTGAGTATTTAGAGAGTGACAGGGTACGCGAAATCAAGTCATCCTTGCTAGCTACGCAAAACACCTTCTAAAAATATTGACAAAACAAAAATCCATCAATTCCACGATAGTTATTGCACTTGCTCCAAGCAGCAATCCCATGGAACCACCAATATCACCTAATGAATAATAAATAAAATAGTATAACTAAGTAAAGTTTATTTGAACTACATAGTTATATACGTTGTTTGTGATGTCCGATATTCGACTTGTGGGTTACCATCTAGTCGCTGTGAAACAGTATTCACTATATGTCATCATTTCCTACTCCGTTTAAAGCACTGTGAGTGTGGCCTCGTAGGTAGCGCATCTGCATCCAATGGGGAAGCGATTACTGTGATTATGAGTTCGCGTCCTGTATTTGACCTTCAAATATTTGTCTGTTTTTGCATGCACAATTCATATTAGTATTCTTGAAAAAGCTGTTAGAACGATGTTTGCAAAAAAAGTCTCATCAATGCTAAACCAAAATTGGATTCTCATCAAATATAAGTCTAGTACACATACTCACACCAAAGCCGATACAACTCGTATGCTTCTTGTTGTTTGATATCCTCGTAACTCATGGCCTCATAAAATACTTCTATTTGTGCATAATTGTCTCTTAAATGTTAGAAACAAGAGGTGAAATTAACTACCACATACAAACAGTACATAATTTAGGAAGTTAAAGCATTTCTTCTTTCAAATTGTGGATTGTCTTTATTTGTGAGACTATCCTATTTTTTATATATCACTATATTTATATGATAAAAGAAATACTTTTATTATGATGTAAGGGTTTTAGAAAACATTCAGCTTTAATGATCAAAACTACGCCAGTATTAACACAAACATGAATTAGCATAACAACTGAAACAGACATGTCCATAACTATCATTGTGATATGATTTGTGATTCTTTCCCATGAATATGGGCTGCATTTTTTAAAGCAACCCACACGTAGATGGATTGGAAGTAACGTAACGTAAAAGTAACGTTAAGATAAAACTATCTCCGAGAAACGAGTAGAACACATGTCAAAAATTCTAAATGGCAACCAGTTGGCAATTTTTAATCAAAACGCGAAACAAAATGATATGTCAAGTTTAATAAAATTGGTCAAACAATGTTGTTGTTGGAGAATTAATATTTCAAACAATTAACATAAAATTAATATCAGCCTTAGCAATTGGCATATAACTAATAAGTAAGTTGTTTTGTATATGTTACAAAATATCGCAAAGAATTTGATCAACTAAATATAAATAACATTGCCCTATATTGGTTCCACAAAATGAAATTCTCCGTATGACTTTAGTAAAAGTATGGAATTTCTGAAAAGAAAGTTCCGTTTGTGTTTGTACATTTTTCCTGATTCGTGCATCAAATGTATGGTGGCTGTCACTGTATTTTGTGTACCAGACAACAGAAACTTTTAAACATAAACAAATTGCTAGTGTGCGACTGAATGAAAGTTATCTGCCAGCTAGAGGGGGGGGGATTGCAAAGCAATGATGAGATTGCCGGACCCCGGGATTTAATTTTCACGCAATAAATCGTGATTTTAAGTCAGATTAACTTGCAGTCATGCTGTCATTGTGTATACAGAGGTGGCCATCTTGCTAATGAAGAAGATACTATAACACACCAATAATAACGAATAGCAAATGAAACCAACATCAGACAAGTACGGAACAAGCAAACATTACGCTTAAAGAGAGAAACCAT